AATATGTGAATTAAAAAAATTCCAACAATAATAAAGAGGCAAATTTCAATAAAATCAAAAAATAGGTGGTAAAGATGCCGCTTTCCCCGGCCATATTATTCATTTCTGACTGCCCAGACGAGCCCACAGGCCTAGCAAAATTATAATAAATACACCTTATAATTAATAAAACTCTAAATATAAATGAAAATACAATAAAAATAAGTAAAAGTAAAAGTAACCGGTTTGAAAGGGGCTGCTGATTGAAACGTCAATCATATTGCCACATGTCAATAATAGATAAACCGTTTAAAGTTTAGGATAGTATTCATGTTTTGGTTTTTGGAGATTAAACATTTGGACTTGTTTGTGAGGAGTTTATTTTCTATAGAACGTTGCAGAGATTCGTTTGCTGAGTTATTATTTTGAAATGGTTGTCATCAGTAATGCAGCTTTTGTTTGCTGGGATTGTTGGCACAAGATTTCTTCTTCTGAGAAAACCTTTTCTGGGAAGAAGAGAAAGTTGGGCACCTGGTAAGATTAGTGTCTTTGTCTCGATAATTATAAATTCAATAAAAAAGAAAAAAGAGGGGGATTAAGATTACCCTTTCCCCGACCATATTTATTAGTTTCTGAGCGCCCAAACGGATCCACAGGCCTAGCCAAGATTCCAGCCTCAAAAGAAAAAGTAAACACTTCTTTCCAAATAAAAAAGCATGTAGAGCTGGGCCTTGTGGCCTAATAATTCGATCTTAAGTCATAAGTACTTAGGTGAGGTGATTAAAGTTTTGAATTTTATCATTATCGTGAACTTTATCGATTGCGATCTGATGGTTATGCACTTCATTTGAGGGGGTGAAATATTCACTCGATCTAAAAATCAGTTGCTAACAATTAACTCACTAACCTCCTAACCATTACCCTTGTCAAAAAAAAAAAAAAAGAGCATGTAATTGACATTCCTTGTTGTGTTTCATTGGTGGCCATTGTAACCCGACAGAGTTGTAAATGAATTGCACTTTTGATCAGTGGTCTAAGGCAGTGTTTTGAAACAAGGATCGGACCGGCCGGTCGAACCGGTCGAACCGTCACCCGGTCATGAAAACGGACCGAATGCATACCCAGACCCGGTGAGGCGATCCAACCGCCCAAACCCGCCAGAACCGCCAGAACCGTCAGACCCGGTAAACCCGGTAAACCCGGCGGGCCAAATTCAAATCTGCCATTTTCAATTTTTTCAACCATTTTTTAATTCAATATTTATTTTTTATCCTTTTTTTTTGTTTGATACCCCTTTTACCCTCCTCTACACATTACAATTACATGGTAAAATACTTAAAAAAAACAAAATTTGAATGCAAATTGGTAAAATCACTAAATTAGATCAAGAAGACAAGAACCCTAAGCCCTCTGCT